CTATATATATATATGTTACCATCCATATTTAGAAACCAAAGTTTACAGCTAATTTATATCATCACATCCAAGATTTTTGATACATTTTTTATTTATATAGCAATGGATTATTGAAATTACCGGTTATTGAAAAAATTAAGGGTGACCGATTAGTTCTTCGGAAAGCAAACAAGAACGATGCACAAATCCACCAACTTATGTAGCAATGGATTCATCATAGTCAGCTTTAGAAAGAGCCAAATAAAACATAGATCTCTAATCCCCAAAATTTAAATAGTCTATTTACATAGAAATTTAGTTCTCAAATGATAAAAAAAAACTATTAAAACTTATATTTAATCGTCTACGAAGACTGGCACAGTTCTTTAGATCATATCCATCCATAGTCTCTACATGAATATTTCAAACAATAGTACAATATTAAAATATTAGGAGAGTCTCTAAAAAATCAATAGATCCACTTGAAAGTCTCTCAAATGAGATCCAACACCAAAATCTCTTAACTTTTAAGAGACTCATAAAATATTTTAGTACTATTTATTTTAATATATTTTGAGATACTCATTAAGAGAGCGTGGATGGAGCGGTAACTCCTACTATCGAAATTTAATTCTCTGTTTGGGTTATTTGATATAAAAATTATGGTTGAATCAAAACTAATTCCATATCAAATTAATCCGTACTAATGGATTTTGCTTTAGTTAAAATCGAGAAACTGAAAATTCTTAAATGAAATTGATTACTATCCGGATTCAGAGTCTCCGGTTCAACTGATATATCAAATGTGAAGCTATTCTCTTATAAGTATCTATTTGTGGCTATGCGAGCAGATGACCGAGAATAATTGTTTATCATTTTATGGCTTACTAGGTGATTCTCCTCCGTACACGCGGATAAATTACTTATGCAATTTTGTTTTTAATTAATTTTAGTCTTTAAGAATGTAAAATATGTTGTTGTTTTGATTTTTATTATAGACATTATTGTTGATTCTTTTGTTTTTAATTTTTTTGGTCAATAATATCGTCTTTATTAATAATATGAATTTCACAAATTTAGTTTTACCATTTAATTATTTTATATATGTAAGCTTCCAAATCAAAAATGTATACCAATTTAATACATTAGAGTTAAAAAATCCATGTTAAATTTAGCTTGTCCGAATATCTTAAATAGAATTTAGAATACAAATAAATTATTTAATATTTTAAAATATTAAAATATATAATCATAAATTTTATAAATGAAACACATATTATATATTTTATTAATGAAACACAGATTAAAAACAGAATTATTGCTTTCGAATTAAAAAAAATATTTTTTATTACATTCAAATTGTCTTGCGTTAAAAGAAAACATTTCAAAAAAATAATTATATTTATTGTTATAAACTTGGGAAGTTATTTTAACAAACATATCGAAATCTCTTTTAAATTTTGCTAAGTCTTTATTATCATTTTCAAAAAGAATATATATTCTATAAAAATGTTCTATAATTTTATTATTACAATAATCAATTTCTAAACTATATTTAAATGAGAAACCAAGTTTTATATAATTTTATAATAAAAATGAAAATCTGATAATATATTGATTAAAAATTCTTTTGATTTATTTATGGTAATAATTATAAATTTAGTTGTAGAAAATTTTATTATTGATTCAAAATTGCCATGTCATAATTTTTGCAAGCCATCTCATAATTGTTTCGGTGAGAGTGATTGTGGAGTTGACACATAAACATCTTCTCAAAAATTATTCTCCAATTAATATATATAAAGAATTGATATAAAATTGCCATGTCATAATTTTCACAAGCTATATCATAATTGTTTTGGTGAAAATAATTGTGGAGGTAACATATAAATATTTTTTCAAATATCATTCTCCGATTAATATATATATAAGGAATTTGGCTCCATGGCCCCAGAACGATTTTTTGTTTGTTTCAATGGCGACTAGTAACGAGATAGAATATGAACGGTGTCGTTTTCGGCTTCCACCGCTCGCAATAGTTGTTGTTGAAAATAAAACCCAGTCCACTAATATAGGTGCACGTATAGCGTCCTGATTAAGACCCACACACCACATCAAAAGTAGTAGCTATCTTAACTATTTGAAATATACGATTCATCAACCCACGTGAAGTTGTATCCATTTTCAAATGCTACATTATATTTTGTGAAAATAATATTTTTAAATAAGAAAAAGGGTACGCGTGTTGTCGTAAGAGAAGAGTAATAAGAAAGATCCTCAATTATAGTGATGGCGTCAACATCCTCTGACGACGACTCATGGCGTCAAAAACTCACTCATTTCAGTCGTTGAAGGCCGTATAAGAGCACAACTTTTTTATAGAAGAAAAAGAGAAAGAGAAATGATTTGCTAAAGGTTTTTCATTCAATGGAATTTTATAATTAATTACATTTCTTTTCTCTTTAGAACTCTAGTTTTAGTTCCTTCTAATAGTGGAAAGAAAGATAGAAAGGGCAAGGCCCAAAAATAATTACA